TGTCAACCAAATTCTTGAAGTGGAGCTACCTGCATGTTACTCTGGAATTCATCAAATTAAAAGATTTCTCACATCTAGAAGTAGACTTTATAGAAGCTTTAACAAACTAGCTCTTTAAATAGAAGTAGCTCAGCTCTATTAGGTGAAACAGTTTAAATAAAAAGAGTTGAAAACAGATCTACTCACCATCTACTGTACCTTTGCAGGCTGTCTTTCCAGCCTATTCTCCTGAAAATCTTGCAGCTTTCAGTTGCTACTTACATTTCAGACTCCACCAGGTCTCTAAAAAGTCTTTACTTAATTGTCATCACAGAGACTTGGGATAGGATTTTATCTTGGCTGCAAAAAGCCTTCCTTGACTATAGCTTCATGCCGCTTGTTTTTATCTCCCTGTTGCAGCCTGACGCTGCTGAAGCTTCTCATAAAATGGTTGAGGTTGGAAGGGAGCTCTGGACATATCTGGTCCGAACCCTCTGCTGTAACAGGGCCATGTACAGCCAGCTGCCCAGAAACATGTCCAGAGAAGACATTTTCCATCTAGGCACACTAAACTACTTCCAGAGAAGATTCTGTTCTCCCCCAGGGAAGAGCAGAGGGTCCTGTCTTGGCAGCTTCTTTCCTTCCTAATGTCGTAATACCTGTCACAACTATTTTGCCTGATTTCTTTCATAATCTAGACCATAACATGACATTCAACCACTTCTGACAAATTCCTAATTTATAGGTGAGCTATACCTCTGCTTTTTGAAAAACATATGGCCTAGTTTTAAATATATGAAATTGTAAAGATTCTACCACATACCTAGGCTAATAGATTCATATGTAACCATATTTATGTGATTTTTATTTTTTACTCCATGTACCTTGTTTTCCTCAATTTATCTAGCTTCAGGCTTCAGCCTTTGGATTATGCCTTTATCTGTTAAATAACCTTATGGTATTAGAAGTCTTCCTTCTGTGTACAAACTTAGGCTATCTTCAGCTCTTCTCCTGAAAAACAAAGATGGATCGAGGAGCTTTTGTTTTATCTGTTTTTCCACTACAAAGCAGTATGGTTTTGTGGTGGGTTTTTTGTTTGTTTGTTTTGAGTTTTTTTCTGGAACCATGCTTGGATGGTAGAAGCTAACATAATGGCATAATTATACCATCAATACCATATAAAGAAGTAACACAGCTACATTACTGCTCAATATTTCTTTCTGTTAAGCCCCATCTTTTTTAAGCCATCACAGTGCACATGAAGCTATCTCTACTGCTTTTAAAAGAGTTACAGCTTTCAAAAAATGCTGTATAATGCTCAGCAAGCTTAGCCCTGGCAGTATTTGCCTCTGCAAGTGTAACCTTACATTTGATTTCACTGTATCACCTTTTTCCCAGGCAACCTAGATCACCCTACAAAAATGGACATTATTTCCTACTCAATCATTTTCATGTCAACAGCAAGCTAGTTACAATGTTTTCTAGCCGAGGAAAGCAAAGCCCTGTGCTCTGTTTAATGATGTTTATCTAGAGGTAATGTGGTAGTTTTGCAGCAAGCCAGCTGAGCAATCTCCAAATTTTAAGGGAATGTTCCAAGAAGAACAATGTAAGAACTTTTTTTTCTTTAAATTGGGAAACTGGAATGGGAAAAGTAGGACTGAAACAAGCTTTGAAGTTGCTTAGCAATGCCTCACCTAACTTTTAACTGTTCATATTGATTAAACTACTTGATCGGTCGTTAGTATCATTCAGACCTGCTCACTCTCATACACAAAGGTATACCAAAGGCCATGCTTGCAGACCTGCTTTATGTATAGAAACAGTCTGATCCTAACAGCAGCCACATGGAGGCTGTCAAAAACCAGTATAGATATAAGGGCCCCTGTTGTGAAGGAGAAAACAGCTAGTAGCAACAAAAGTTAATGCTTTAGACTTATTTAAAAGTCTATCCTATGGATGTCAGGTGTGTTTAGAGAAAGTACTCATATTTTCAACACACTGAGGTAGCATGTTATTTGTTTGAATAATGCCAAAAGCAGCAAAACTAAAACCCACATGGAATAAAGCCTGTCTAATATCATTTGCAACAGCTAGGGCTTCAAAGGTGATCAGCGTAAAACTGCACCTGAGCAAAGATGATGATGATGGTGAATGGAATAACAATCATAATAAAAATGCTCATGCACTAGAAAATGTTTTTTTAAAAAAACCTATAAAATGCTAGAAAATACCACACACTGGGTATGCTATTTAAAAGTGCATGAAAATTAAACTGAAGTGATTTCTGAAAGATTAATATCCTGGTTTTGGCTGGGACAGAGTTAATTTTCTTCCCAGTAGCTGCCATAGTGCTGTGGTTTGGATTTAGGATGAGAAGAATGTTGGTAACACCCTGATATTTTAGTTGTTGCTAAGCAGTGCTTACACCAGTCAAGGGTTTTTTCAGCTTCCCCTGCTCTGCCAGGTACACAAGAAGCTGGGAGGGGGCGCAGCCAGGACAGCTGACCCCAAATGACCAAAGGGCTACTCCAGACCATATGAAGTCATGCTCAGTTTATAACCTGGGGGAAGAAGAAGGAAGGGGGGATGTTCGGAGTGATGGTGTTTGTCTTCCCAAGTCACTGTTACACGTGATGGAGCCCTGCTTTCCTGGAGATGGCTGAACACCTGCCTGCCAGTGGGAAGCAGTGAATGAATTCCTTGTTTTGCTTTGCTTGCGTGTGCTGCTTTTGCTTTACTTATTAACCTGTCTTCATCTCAACCCCAATATCTTCTCACTTTTACTCTTCTGATTCTCTCCCCCTATCCCACTGTGGGGGGAGTGAGTGAGCAGCTGCATGGTGCTCAGTTGCTGGCCGAGGTTAAACCACGACAATTAGCGGTGTATGTTGATGCTGTAGAAAGCAAGGTAAAACATACGTACCTGCTAGGTGAACAGTAATGTTATACAGAGTCCACACAGTAGAGACTATGCCCAAACATGATAAAATGGAACTGATAGGTACCAGAACAAACAGAATTAAAACAAACAACTGATGAAACCAGGTAAGGGAGGGAACAATTTAAGCAACATCTCCAATAGAAGTACTTTACCAGTGTAAGAGTACTGGTATGGTATGCTACCAAAACAGCAGTGTAGCTGCAGCAAGTCAGGTTTTGAAATCCTTCAAGGAGGGAGACTACAACCTCTCTAGGAAACCTGCCCTGTTGCTTGACTGTCTTCATGATGAAGAGGTTTCTCATCATATCCAGTCAGAACCTCTCTCATTTCCGCTTGTGCCCACTTGTCATCCTCCCATCATGTACTTCTGAACAGCTCAGCTTCATCTTTCTTGATTACCTCCTCCTATGCGTTGGAAGGCTGCTATTAGGTGGCCTGAAGACTTCCCTTCTCCATGCTGATCAAAGACCAGTTCCATGCCACGAAATATCCTCCTGTAATAACAAGTATACACGCACAGAAAACAAATTATTTGCAGACTGTATTTGCTCTACATCTTTTATGTAGCCAACATGGAACAAACAATAATTTTGCTATTGACTTATCTGACTTATCTTACCAGATTCCCACCACAGTTTTTCTTCTCCGAGTGACTGAAAACATGCTTCGTGAAATGTCTTGATGTCCTTCACCTCTACAAAGAAGTGTGACCCATGCATCTGATTCTTTTGTGTGCTGCCTCTTTCATCTGGTTAGGACTTAGGAGACATTGAGTGTATTATAGCAAGCAGGCACCTTAAACAGAGCAAAATTTCTCATGGTGCTGTTTTCTTTGGTGACTGTAAGAAAGCAAATGATATCACAGTGAAGAAACAGGAGTGGGAAGTTTGTTTTTTAATATAAAAATAGATATAGACACAAAATAAATGCAAGTACATAATTATTTAAGTGAATACCTGCCTTTTATAATTTTACATAAAATCTGCACATTTCTAGTATTTCACACAAAAACGTTATCTGTATCACTTTTTAGTAAATGTTAGAAAGGATCTCAAGATTTAATAATCCAAAACAGTAGAACTTGGTTTGCATTTGCTTATTAGATAAAACATTAAATTACTAGCATATACTGTATTACTGTGTTGAAGACCTTGTGTGGTAAGAAGCAAAAAAAACCCCAATTTCACTAAAGAAGACTTTTTAATCAAATTAAAGCACAATGTAAAATATATGAAATAATAAAAGATAAATGAGTTATGCACTAATACAAATATGTACTAAGTGTTTCTATAGAAGGGAGGTATAAATAAGACATAGAAAAAAATTTCAGAAATCATCACTTTCACAGCCATTAACTGATCGCACAGCACTTTAGGTATTAAACCAAAAATTAGTAATAAGGGGTATTTTAAGACATGAATGAAGACTCTGTGGACTGGCTTATGAAGAATATTCCATATTTTAATTGGCTATGTCAAAAAGGGGGACAGATTCTGGAAAATGAGCTAAGCACTTCAATGACAAAACAAATTGCTGGAATAAAGGAATGAGGACACGGAGGTCTGTCAGTACATAAAAGAGAGACAGGATTGTACAAACTCTTGCTAGCTTGTCTGTCATGCAACAAGTAAGAGACCAACAGAGACTGGAAGATGAAGGTGAAAAGATCAATATGACCAGATTTAATAAGATTTTCCATCTCTTTTTGAATTACAGAGTTCATGAGAGTTCAGAATAGAAATGCTATGGTTGCAAATCTGTGAAAGAATGTTTTAGATAAGTTAGTCATACAATAATAGAAAAGGATTCATTCTTGAATATATAATAGTGAAGAAATAGCAAAATTTAGGTATGCTCTAGTTGTGCGTATCTACAGAAATGGAATTTTTTATGATGGAACTGAATTATAGGCTTGAATGCTTTGGAAAGCAGTGGTGCCATCGATAACGACAGAGCTTGACAGACAAAGATTTGGAACAACCCATTTTAGTTTTGAAAAAATAGATTTACTTTAAAGTTGATATATGCTTAACTACAAAAATCACTCGTATATTACAAACCAACTCCCGAAGTTCTCGCTATGCTAAAACTTCTGTGGAAACGAGAAATTTCTCAAAGTAAGGACTTGCAGATTTGGCTTCTACCGAGACCTCTGGCAAACCTCCTCTTGACTGCATCAGGCATGGAAATGATTTTGGAGATCTACGCTATGGGAGCCCTCTGGTGGGTGAGAGAGGAAAATGCCCCCAAAATGCCAATCGCCAAGACAACTCCTGCCACTGAAATTGGATCGAAGATTGCAGTGTTTTGTAAATATTAATTAAAATGTATTTATTTGAATCACCTATTACAAAATGGTGAGTTTCGATATCACTCCTCCTCTATAGTTACCCTGTTTTCCCCCCACTACTCAATTATTCAGCTGCAACCCAAAGAGAAAAGCAGTTCACATGCAGAAAATAAACAAAACAGGAAGAACATGTTAAACTAAATCCTTGTCAACAACATAGAAGAAAAAGTGTTTACTATATCATGTATCCACCTCTGCTGTTTCTATTATTACTGGGGACAGAGAACATTTAGTCTTAGTAGTAGCTTGAAGCCCTAGCATTCCTTTGGGTCTTGTAAAATAAGCATTATACACCCCAAAACTTTCAATACTGCATAAAGACTCTGAGATTGCCCCTCACTATGTACATACACAGGCCTGGCTCTGCATGGTTTCCATATACTCAGTGTTTTTTGACTCTGTATGTTTAAAAATTTTTTGTCTCAGGATGCAGGCAAAGACATCAGTATTTGGTTGTATCCATATTCACTGACAATCAAGTGATACATGATCTACATAGTTACAGATCATACATTTACAAAAGGATAGGAATGGCAGAAAGTAAAATAATTTGCTCTTCTGTGAAGTCAAAACCACAGACGTAACCAGTGCTATGCCACTACTGATCAAAAAGGCCTAAATGATAAAACTTCAAAGTCATCAGCCCCTTCCATCTAAATACAGTTGCTGTGTGAGTGGCATTAATCACTGACCGTTTGGGTATGAAGTGACTCTTGGGACCTTTCCTGGCGTTTTATCAGTCAAGTCTTATAAACCTCCAAGGATGGAGGGTACAAAACCTATCTGGGCTACCTGCTTCACTGCTTAATTATCCTTACACCTTTTTTTTTTTCTCTTCCATATATCCAATGAGATCCTCCCATTTCAATTTGTGTCTGCTGTCTTTCCTCCTACCATGCAACACTGACTCCACCATCTAGACAACCTCCCTGTCAGCCTGCTGTTAGCACCCCCAAGCCATCTCTTCCCCAGACTGAACAAGCCCAGCTTCTTCACCTCTCCTCACAAAGCAAGTGCTCCAGACCCAGCCATCGTGGTGACCCTCCCCTGAACTCACTCCAGTTTAACAATGTATTTCTTGAGCTGACAAAATTAGATTCATCAGTTCCTTCTTTTCACATGGAAGCATTAAGCCTACCTTTTTTTCTCATTTTGAAACAAAAGGGAACTTCCATGCTCCTGGGTATGGGTTTAAGGCCCATTTTGTTGCTTGGAGATGAGGCTCAACCATTCACCATAATATAAAATCACCTCTCCTGTGCTGCTAGACAGCCCTTCGTGTTCTGGATTCTTTATGCAGTCCATATGCTAGGTTTAAATAATGTAAATGGCTTTGAATCAGTCTTCTGAGCCAGAAGACATTCACCTTTATCGTGAAGATCACCCTCTAACTCTATCAAATGAACAAAACCCTAGATCCTTTGTTGACGTCCTTATAAGGTATACTGAGGTGGACTAACTGAAAGATAGTAACTGAAATGACTGAAAGACTGTGCAGCTTCCTATATTGATGTTTCAGTGGCAACAGTAAACTCTTTGGAAAACAGGGAAAGCTGAAGAAGCTTTCCTTGCAAATCCTGCCCGTTTCTGGCACTCCCCTGCTTAGGGACCTTCTGAGCTGGAGGTTGCTGCTCTATCAGAGTGCTTAATACTGCTTGACAGACCTCTCATCCATAAACTTCTCTATTAATTTTTAACATATGCATACTCTTGGTATTCAAATCATCCTAAGGTAAGGATATCTATTTTTTAAATTGTATGAAGCAGTCCTTTTCTAAGTCTGCTGCTTGTTAATCCATTTTGTGCCTGATTTTCTTGATATAAGCATGACTAATTGTTCTCTATTCACTGTTCCTCATGCTAGCTCAGAACTTTTAAAATTCTAATATTTCTCCTTGAGTAGCATCTTTTCCAAGGCGGCGATTCCAAATTACTTACTTTTTTCTGTGCACAGAAGCTATTCCTTACTTTGTTCATGCTCGTCCTCCTCTATCTCAAATTCTGTATCTCTTTTTGACATGGACATCAAAACAGCTCACTGCTCATGAAGTATAATGACAATTTGGTTGTCTATCCCCTTCCTATTACTATCATTATTTGCCTTTTTTAATACCTCTGAAGATTTATTTTGTCAAAAGCTAAACTTACTGGCAGCTTTGACATTAAATTTATGGTGTTAGAATTTAGTCTACTGTTTTGCTTGCTCTCCATCTATTTTCCTCAGTCCATCCTGGAAAAATGTCCAAACGTGTTCCTTCCAAGTTTATGCCTTGGTTGCAGTCTTCCCATGTACAGAAGACCAGAAGTATCTCTATTAATTTAGGACAAATATGCAGAAAATGGTACTTTGGATGTTCTAATATAATCAAGCAGTCAATTCATTATTTGACCAGTAGCATGAGAAAAATGCTGGGGAAATCTCTTTTTATTCTGACTGAAAACATCAGGCAGAAAATTTCAGGGGAATATAACAGGCCACACTCATTTTTGTTGTGGGAATGTTCACACATTTCTGTTGTGGAAGTTCACATTGTTTTCATTCTAATCAGCTCATACAGAACTGTAATTTACATACAGAACAGCTTTTAATTATTTTTTTCTTTAAAAAAAAACCACTTTAGAAATAAATTGACCATGAAGGCTCCATTTTTACAAGCCCTCATTAAAGAAAATGTTGCTGACCTAGACTCTCTATCTCCTGGAGAAATGAATCACCTGTTCTGCCCTCAGACTCCTTTTTTAAAATTCTGGTTTTGTTGGAAGTAAACAAAGCGAGGAACAGAACAGAAAAGAACCTCCATAAACAGTATTATGCAGTTGTTAGTAACATATTAAAAGAACAACCACTCTCAATTCTTCCACAGATTAATTCTAAATTTCTAACTCAACTATTTAATTTAGCTTGTCACAACCTCTCTGTTCCAAATTTAAAAAAACCCCAATTTTTCCCCTACTTCAATGCTACCACAGCGATAAAAGACACACACATCATAATGCACAGATTAGCTATTCCTCTCCACCCTGTGTCAGTTCTATGCTTTCATACAAAGTTTACTGGTCCCAAACTATGCCAGGTTTTATTTTGCATGTTAGAAACACCCATGTTCTAGGGACTGGGCTTTGCCTAGGACAATGATCCACTTTACATCAATTATTATGTATAGCAATTATATAATTTGATTGACATAAATTATTTTTTGGAATTTATTATAAAATATATATTTCTTATATATATTTATAAATTTATAATAAAAATACTGTTAAGAAGGACACGATAAATAGACATAAAAAGTGATTTGATAGATTGATGGCATGGAAAGCCTATCTGTAGCCTGCAAAAATAATGATTTAACTTTTGACTTGGGTTCCCTGAAGAACACCCCATCAGTGTTGATGGGTATGCTGGGAGGAACACCACTGTATGCTTACCTTCTTCATATATGCTTTCCCTAAATTCCACTAAATATTGAGAAAACCTTTTTCCCAAGCCAACAGGATCATCTGTTTTTCCTCAGTGTGACATCACTACTTCTTTTGAAAACTGTTCTCTCCCCTACACATACCCAAAACAAGAACTGAGCTGAGTTAAACCAAGTTAAGGTCAAACTGGAATTTTCATGAGGTTCATAAAACTATGCCTTGTCCCAGTTTTTCATGGAAATGTTGAGCCACTGAAACAACAGTACCAACTACTGATACTGAGAAAAGTTTGAAGGGAAAATAAGGTTTCTCTCCATGAAAAGGAACAACAGACTACACTGAAGCCAAGCACTCTGAAGAGATCAGCATGATTGAGGAGTTTGAAACAAGGTAACATTTTAGGATAAGGAAACAATACAAGGAGCAAAGACGTAAAGGACACCTCATGATGTTCTCTATTATCCTAGAGATAAATAATAACCAAGCTAATTTTGGGAATGCCTTCTAAAATATTTATTAACTATCATGTAGACTGACAGATTCCAATTTTGTTCTTTCTTTCTTGGCTATGCACGATACAGTGGAAAGTCTTATTCATAGAATGAAAATTAACTCTTAATAATGTTTAAGAAGAAAACCAAAATCGTGCTACTGGTTAAATGAGGCTAGTAAGCACTGAAGTACAGCGATGGAAGGAAAGGTGCCTGCATTGACATAATAAAGGATAAAAAAAATCAAGCTCAGAGACCTAGTTTGGCCTGCAGTAATGGTAAATGAACTACAGCATTAAATCAAACAGAAGAAATCTCAAGAGGTTACAGTCAATTTTCTTCACGCAAGTTTAAGGACTTGAAAACAAACAAACAAAAAAGTAAACCACAAGTTAGTTATTACTGCCAATGGTTAATTGCGCATAGTTGCACGGTACCAGGTCCAGTGTGTTCTGTGCCATAGGGCTTACAGGTTTTACTGGACTCTAAGCCACGTAACACAAAAAGTAACTGCACCTTCAAGTACAAGACCATGATACATTCTGTCAAATACTGCTAAACCTCCTTCTCTTCTAACATGAGAAAAGCAAATAGAGAAAAAGTAGAGTTAATCAGAGAATTTAAGTATGGCATTGCCATCAGCCCACACGTTTTCATCCCCCTTGAACCTTGTGGGATTATCAAGTGGTGACAGGAGCAGCTCAGTCAGGCGAGAAGGTGCACCTGCTCCCTGTTGGTATGTACACTATCTCGTTCAAGTATGATACTAATCCCTCGTCCTGGTCAAAATGAAGACCGTATCTTGTTTCATATACTTTAATTTCTACAACATCACTCCTCTTCTTTCTCTGTCTTTTTACCACATGAATACTTTATTAATAACGAATTTGTGTAGTTTACTTCTAAGTAGCATCTAAGACATTTTTCATAGTTTGGACTTATTTCTCACTGTACATATGAATTACTATAATTGTTATTTTAGAAAAAGAAAGATTTTATTTTATAAACAATATACATTTAAAATGTTGTAAAAAAAATTCTTTTCTTTATAACACAGACTTTTTGCAGTCCTTTTTTTTTGGCACTGTGCAACTCTCTTGCCCAGGAAAGTGAAGAGGGTATTGAGGGAAGGCCACGGATAACAGTTATTTTTCCACACTACAACTGCTACTGTCACAATGCACGTCAGGTTTTTTTTGAGGACATGGTAACAGCATTCTCTTCAGACTCACTCATTCTGTCTTCACTCACACATTCTCTCAATGATCTGTAAAAATCCCCGATTTTTTTTTTTTTTTAGTATGTGCAATGAGAATTTTTAAAGAGTCAGTTAATTACTAGCTTGCAGTTATCAACCCTAGCTACAAACATATCCAACAAAACCTTTTCAGAAATCATTTCACTTTTTGTACAGACCCACTTTTTGTATTATTCTCACCCTGCGACCCTGTACACGATGCCTTATGCAAGTACTTCTATCCACTGCCACTCTTTAGCATATTCACTGATCTTGCTGCACATTGTGGCATCGTGATGACAAGCTTTTACTTGCAAGAGCAAAGAAGCGTGAAAGAGGACAAGACAAATCTCTGAGTCTAGGCAAGAAAAGAGGCACATCCACGACTGGAGCATCAGGGAGAACAGCACTTCAGGGACAACTGCTAGGCTCATCTTATAAGCCATGCTAGCTTAACCTGGCTGTTGGAAACACAGCACTGGCGTACACCACTGCAGCCAAGATAGATCTACTGATCACAAGGATCCCAAGCACTCATGCAGCACCACACTGTCTTTCAACTGGGAGGCAACCAGTAACTTCGGTACGAATGAGGCCGCTTCACTGGCTGGCCCATACCACAACCCCATACCTTCCTTCAAGCAGTAACTGCAAAAAATACACCCATTCTTCTGGCCTTCTCTTCTGTTTGTGTGAAGTGGAGATGTTCCTTCTGCACTGGTGACCAATTGCCTCATCTCTTATTTCTTGACCCATGCTCTCTCATTAGTCTTAATGACCAATGTGCCTTATGGAGTTTTCTTCTGTGGTTGCTCATTTTCACCCCATGATATAACAACACAACTGAGGTAGACTTGGGGCACTACAAACAGTAGTTGTCCCAAAAGTTGTCTACAGTGACAGGGAAAAATAAACATAGCCCTGGTATGCCAAGCAATGTCTAACCAGCATATCCTCAAGGGTGGTCCTGTCAACAGACATCGTGAATACTCAGAAATCTGACCTCGAATTTATCTGTGAGCACCCTCTTACAGACAGAGCTGTGTGAATACAGCCATGAAAAATGTTAGTCTTAGGTTCCCCAAGAATACTAAACAAGGGGTGAAATGTCCGTCTCCAAAAGATATCATGAAAGTTAACACATCAACTGAACACCATTTTTAAGTCTGAAATTTATAGGACTTTGGTTGGCACAAGGCACAGGAGAAAGGTCACTATCTGAATAATTAAAAAAATTACTAACTTCACTATGAAACTGTGGGGGGTTTTTTTGCATTTTTGCATGTACTTTACACCTGCTGTGCCCCAACCAACACTAAAAAAATTGAAGCTGAGTCTCTGAATTCTCTTTGTAGATCATTCTTCAGATAAAATCAGCAGATCTTTATTAGAATAAAGGATAAAATGCTTTGAATTTATAAACTCTGAATTTTAGGGAGTCGTGAAAAAACATTCAGATAGCTAGTGCCAACATGGCATTGAACTTCCATTTTGCCCACACTGTCCATAAAACCATTACTTCCATTCCAACAAAGACTGAAGTTCTTCCTTGAAACTATGAATTACAGTAATTATTTTACACAATCAAGAAAAATTTTTCACTGAAACCTTGAAAATCTTGCCTGTTACCCAATTAAGACTAAATTAGCAACCAAATTAACCAAATAGGAATGGATCTGACAGACCGATGCCGATTTCTTCAAAATTACCATTTACTGCAAAAATATAGGAAGATTTTAACAAAAGACTCAGAATTTTTCTGTTAGTGGGAAATATATAATTTTGTTTGTTTGGGGTTTTTTTTTTTTACTGTTTGATAAACTAAATAAACTTTTAACTGTTTAGAATGGAGATGATTTTTTGATTATGCTGAAGTTACTCTTATGGCTTATTTACTAAAGCTTTAGTTAAAGTTAAATATTTATGTAACCATTTCAGTCAAAAAGATTTGTGGTAGGATATAGCTACAGCATTTCTTTTTTTTTTTTTTTTTTTTTTTCTTCCAGCAGCCTTAATTCTTAACTAGGCACAGGTCTCTGATTTTTGGTATTTCAATATTTTATTGATAAAGGTATGGAGTGCTGTACAAAACATAAAATCTTTATATACTCCAAGGGCAAATTACTTCCCTTCCCACTTGGGAATAGTTTATTTTTAATGCTGTTCTTTAAGTTTTTAATTCTTCATGGGTTCTAGGGCCATTTTGAATTATAACATACATATTTAATAGTAATGACATCCAGGGAAATATTTTCTGTGGTGGAGATCATACATACACATTAATAGTAATATATTAAAAAAAAATCTAAGAGGAAATACGCAATATAGTTATCTGCTTACTGACCTGTAACTAATTATAGTTATGTAGTTTCTGCTGCTCTTCTCATCAGACTACGAGCCCACCTGGATTGCCATGAACTGTCCTTCACTTGGCTCAGGAGCACCACAGCCACCTGCCTGTGCCTTTACACCAAATGGAAATCCAGCACAAGCATCTTCCCCTCCAGAACGAGCCTCCCAAACACCACCACTGCTCCACCAGGAGGCCCTTTCTTGCAACGCTACAAGCTCACCGAAAAACTACACCCGTGACTAACCATCCAAGCAGCTTGTGAATAACCACTGCACTCTGCTTCCATCTGCACTGCCCTCACACTAAGTTAACACATGGTACGGGTATTTGGACCTGCAAGGAACATTTCCCTCCACGAGCCAACACATCCCCTGTGAGTACCTACCTGCAAGGTTTACAAGCTCTCCAAAACCTTACTCAACTCCATTATCACTTGGTTCATGAATTCTGCCACATGCCAGTACCCTCCACACTGCCCTGACAACAGCAAAGTACAGCATGTGTCCACTGCTCTGAGGGGAAGCTTCCATTTCTCCTGTCCTCCTGAACACAGGTCCTTGCAAAGCTGCCCATCTGAATTCCTGCCACCCCAAGCATAGCTTGTGAGCACAATCACAACAATTTCACCATAAATTGAAGCCCAGAAAAGATGTCAGCCACTTTGTGGCAAAGACATTCCACCACTCAGACCACCAGATACCCTCTCCTGAGAGAATGAGTCCACCTGACCACACACCTCTCATATAGCTGACAAGCGCCACCACACAGTACTGTCTCATATATAGCCCTCATACTAAATTAAGGCTCAGTAAAGGCAAAAACCAGTCTGGGGTGGTTGACAACAGATCCCTTCTCTCAAGGCTATGAGCCCATGAGAAGTCCCACCTCTCACCTGACCTCACACTTAGCTCATGAGCACTGTTGGCGCCACAAGGTCCTGTCACCCACATTGGCCACACAGCAACCAGAAGCTTGTTGCTCCAGGGCCCAGCTCCCCCTGCCCCAAACGGTCTCTTCTCAGAAGGCTACAAAACAGCCTGAATCTCAACAACCTCTCACTTGGTTCACGAGTACCAACAAATGGAAACATAGCAAAGGTATCTATTTGCTTCAGGAGGAGAATGTGGCCACCCCTGCACCCTGGCAGGTCCCTTCCTGCAGCTCTGTGAGCCCCTTGTACTGAGGCTGATGAACTAACAAAGCTCGTTCATGTTTTCACCCCTAGGCCACCCGCACGCCAAACAGAAACCCAGCACAGCAGGCCGTGGTCCAGAGCGAAGCTCCCAATCTTACCCCCTTGGGCACTCCCGCAGACTCCTTTGCACCTGACCCGCACGAAGTGCTCACAGCAGATTAAAGGCTGAGACAGGCGTCAGCACCCTCAGGGTGAGCCTCTCCCACTCCCCGTGCCACCAAATCCACACCCTCAAGGCTACAAGCGCCCCCGAGCACTCCTAACCCCACACCGACTCCCACCCCGCGCCCGCCCTCACACCGGCCGTTAGCGGCCCCCGCTCTGATGCAAAGCTACATGCGAGACCACGACCTGCCCTGAGGCCGGGCATGCCGCCGCACGCTGCCCCCGTCCCCCGCCGCCCTCACACGCTGCG